CTTTACAGAATCTACAGCCATATTCCGGGGCAGAACACAATTACAGAAAAGAAAGAATGTTAGTGACAGGATTAGATTGTCTTTTGCTTAACTAGGAACCCAACTAAGAGAAGAAATGACTGCCAGATGGGATTTTCTCTTTTTTAACCTCTGCTGCCATTAAAGCTATTGCCTAAAACAAACAAGTAGAGATGATGACTCAGGCCCTCTTGAACTAAAAGCCAACTTTACCTAAGAAAAAAAAACAATTTCAAAGTCATCCCAGTTCAAGTGTGGGGTTTTTATTTTTTTTTTTTATTTTTGCCTTTTCCTAAGGATTTTGAACAAAACTAATAATACACCAAAAATCTCACTATACAGGTGTGCCACATGTGTAGAGCTCTTCGGTTACATATTTTCAGTCTCAAATACATTCCAAAAAAGCATAGACAAATATGTTATTTCTATATGTGGTTTGATTCTTCAGGGCTCACATAAGAATGATTTTTGTTAGAACAAATACTGCAGAAATAGGTCCCTATCCCTCACCTTGTATGCCCATTTGTCACTGATGTGCTCACGCAGTTGCTGCAGAAACACAAAGCAAGCACTGAATGCCTCTGTATTACACACAACAAATATCATCTGCCAGCCTTTAAGTTCTTAACATGTTTCTTCCCCTCATCTTCCCTACTCTCTTTCCCCTTCTTTCCAGCCTCCTTTCTCTTGTGGTTCTCAAGCAATGATTAGTACTGTCAGTTTGTGCTACTCTTGCATCATGCCACCAGCTTACTTCCACAACCTGCCACAGAAATTTATTACCCAGAAACTTGCTGTGGTGGCTCAGCAGCACAAGGTCACTCATACACACTCTTCTCCTTCTCTCCTTCACAGTATTGATGATCAGTGCAAGTTTCCTCCTATTTGTTTGTCAGTCAGACTGTATAACTAAAAATCAGTTTATACAGGAGAAAAAAAGATTCTGCTGCTCCCAACCAGGCCTGGTCCAAGATTTCTAAGGCTTCTCCCCACCCTCTTTTCATGAGGTTTTGGAATTTGAACATCACAAATGAGATGGTAAATACACATTCACTCATGTCATGGAGGTTGCTACCTACAACTCCTTCAGTGACACTTGCACACAATTAATGCAAAGGAAGGGGAAAAAGCAAACAAACTTTAAATCTCTCACCCCTGCTTTGAAGGCAGAGTCCCTGCAGTATGTTACAACCAGCTTCAGGACAGGCTGATGACAGGAAGAAAGCATGCCTTCAAATGTCTAATACAGATACTGTGTCTGCTTAAGAACTTTGAGGTTTTATACCTTTCCCTATCCTCATCCTGCTACACAGAACAGTCCCTACCACCTGTGAGAGCAGGCTGCTTCCTAGCCCTTCACTGCACAAATCTGAACAGCCTCAATGTCTGCACTTATAGAACAAATAACTAAAAAGAAAACGTCTCCAAGGCTGACCTGAACTATAACTGGTTCTATGAAAAACATTTAAGGGAAGAAGGGAAACACACAGTTTACTGAGACTTGTTATTTTCCACCTCAGAGATTTTCAAGAATGAGTTATTGAAACAGTAAACACTGTTCTTCTACAGAAGTTGTCAAGAATTCCTTTAGCTAACTATTCTTGATAAGCCATGGAAGCATTTGCTTACAAAATTAATCCTAAATTGTCTACTCTAAAATGCAACTAAAAGCATAGTTATGTATTGACTCAGTAAGTACAATAATTTGAAGACCTCAAGTAGGTACATGACCTTTTTAAAGAGCCCTCTGACATTCTTCATTTTCTTTAACCTATGAATATTCTTATGGGGATAAATGGTAAAAGCATAGTAAACTCTCCAATACAAATAAAAGGCAAGACAAGTGGGCAAGCTGTGAACATCATTTCAAAGACCAGAAGGGTGAATGAGTTCACTGCATGAAAGATAAGGGAAACCATTTAAAAAAAAAAAAAAAAAGAGTAAAAATAAGGCTAAAGACAGACTAATAGATAGTGTAGTCCTGTCCATGCCTGTCTGTGGAAGAATGACTTACAATAATAACTTGCTCCCTTTCCAGATTTTCAGACTACTTCTACTAGGTCCATCTCCTAAACATTTTCCATAGAACGAATTAAGTGTACAAGTAACTAAGAAAAGCAAGTCTATTATCTTCTCTGGACTACTCAAAAGCCCTCTGTGCACCAGGGAGAGACTTAAACGCCTGAATGATACCTACTATATGAACTGCAAAGCTGCACAGGAAGTTTTCAAAACACTTCCAAGTCTTGACGACTCCACAGCCTCCTTACACACACTATTCTAGTGCTTCACTAGATGGCTTATGCCATCTAACCTGACCAGTCATTTATTTCTGGTCTCTACTCTCTTCTTCTCTGCAGGAGCTACATACAAGTAGTTATGAGGAAAACTTGACGGAGTTCTGCTGTAAGCTTGCACTGTTTAGGTCCATGAAACACTTTGAGCTTAGAGCTGGAACATTATTACATGTCTACATGAAAATATGTAAAAATAACTTAGTATTATAAAAAAGCATATATGTATTTCCTGTGAGGGGAACAAAAAGCTAGTTCTTGGGGAAAAAACCTGCAGCTGGCAAATCAAGCAATGCCTTCCCCCCTTCCCCAAGATGAGGGAGCCTGGACAGAGCCAGTCAGACAAAGAATCATCTCTCCAGCTTCAAGCAGATTCTCTCCCATTCTTTACTCTGCATGAGCAACACATGCAGGTGTGCATGTGAGCACCGATGAGGTGTAATGGAGTAAACTGGCAGACTTTAAGAGAAAGGTCTTGGTCTTCAAGCTGTAGGAAAAT